GCTAGCGGATGACACGTCGTCTACGAGATTCGCGGTCGAGCTTGGTTTAGGAGCATCGCTTTGCGGCGATCGAGAGCAGGGTCAAGATGCCTACCTCCACGCGCGAAGATGAAGCCCGCCAAGCAGCGGAGGCCCGCCAAGCAGCGGAGGAAGCCAGGATCGAAGAACTGGTCAACGAGAGAGTAGCAGCTCGGATGGAGCAGATGATGGAGGAGAAACTGGCCAAGAAGATGGCCGAGATGGAGGTACGGCATCGAGCCGAGCAGCAGAGGACACAAGATCTCCGGAGCGGGAACGAGGAACAAGGGGTACCACACCAGCAAGAAACTGGGGGCCCGACGCCCAACCCCTCCGCAGACGAGCTGGCCAACGCGATTGCAACTGCCATGGCCGGTCGCCTCCAGACCTCATCAGGGGATATCGGTGCAGTACCTCACCCTGCAACTCTCCGTATGACTGAGAGTAGACGAATAGAGCCTTGGGATGGTGTGTTCAAGTCGGGGGACAGTAGGCAGCAGAAGCTTTTGATTTTCAGATCGAGCATGGTAGCACGGTTTGCACAGGAGGATGTCCACGAAGTAGTGATGGGCCACCAGGACATCCCAGTAGGGAAGCAAGGAATCAGCATGGTAGACCTGAAGACTGAGTATGGCGAGCAGAAGGTAGCTAAGGCTGTAGTGGCGTGGAATTTACTCATCACGTCAATCTCATACATGCCGATCTTGTCGGAAATCGTCTCAGACGGAAGCCCGAGTGGGGGATGGAGGATTTTCCTCAAGTATTACGAGCCCCAAGCGAAAGCCGAGAAAAAGAGACTCTTGAAGGAGTACCATAGCTTCGCGATGCATGAGAGTGAAAACCCACAAGAATACTTCGGAAGGTTCTCTATTTTGCGGAGTAGGCTAGCGTCGCACGGGACAGTGTATCCTGACAACGAAGCCAACGACCACTTGGTGTCCGCCCTGTCATCCGACTACAAATTAGAGAAGAAACTGTTGGACCTCACCCCTGATTTGACTTTTGAGCAGATAGAGGATTCCGTGAAGGAGGCCCACACGGACCTGGTGCGCGCACGGGAGGAGGAACAAAAGAGTGGCGTGGGGCACGCCTTCGTCGCTTCCGGTGCGCCCCGGGGCGACGGACGTGTCCAAAATGGGTCGAGTGGGAACGGCGGTGGACAGGACGGCAAAGGCGACGGTCGGAACAGGAGCGACGAGACCAGAGGAGAACGGCACTGTCGCTTTCATCCGTATGGAACCCACACCAACGCGGAGTGCTATCAACAGCAGCGGAAGAAAGAGCGAAGACAGCAGCAGTCATCGCAACAACAGCATCAGCAGCGGCAGCAGCAGTCATCGCAACAACAGCAACAGCCGCCGCAGCAGCAACAACAACAGCCGCAGCAGCAACAGCAACAAGGCGGCCGCGGTGGGGGGGGCTGGGGTGGTGGACCCCAGCACGGACCCCACGGCGGACGCGGAGCGCAGCAAAGGTATGGAAACTCAGCCCCCCCTCGCCCGCAGCAGCAGCAATGGCGACCCCCGCACGGGCATGCAAACGTGATGCACCATGATTACGGTGCCACGCCCTACGGGGGGCCCGCAAATAGTAGCGAGTATGGGGGTTGGGAGCAGCCGCAGCCACAGTACCAGCAGCCTCCGCCGGACTACACCCAGCAACAGCAGCCGTACAACCCGCCTCCGGCACCATACTATCAGCAGCAGCCACCACCACAGCCACCGCCGCAGCCTCCGCCTCCACCGACGTTCCAGCAGCAGCCGTCGCAGCAGCAGCAGCACTCCACCCATGCCCCGTCCTACTCATCTCCTCCCGGAGCAGCAGCACCGGCCCCGGGCTCCCTTCACTTCTTGATGGCACGTTTCGTGTCTGCAGGCGAGATCGTTCCGAGTGGTGTTGTAGCGAGTACCGAGCGTGAGAGTGGTAGTGGATTTGCCTTGGCTGCACGAAACCCGAATTCGCATTTGGCAGAGAGCAATTTTGGGCCGACAGCGGCGCGACCAACACGTTTGTTAGCAGCAGCCATCAAATGTTCGACTTGAGGCCAGTGCCGCCCGGTAAGGAGTACATCCAAGTAGGTAACGGTGCCTATTTTCGCGTGCATTGTGTTGGGAAGGTAAACATGGCTTTCCACATGCAAGACCAGGGAGGAGAGCGTGAGTTTTGCGTGCAAATGTCGGACGTGTACGTTGTGCCTGGAATCACCTTCAATTTGTTTTCGTTGCACCACACGCAGCGTAAGCAACGGATCCTTCTAGACGAGACCGGCGTCCACCTATTTGATGGTAGGCTTTCCTTTGCATACTCTGATGTAGGATGCTCGCTTTGGGCTACTCGATTGCCCCAGGATTACAGTGGTCGTGCTGTGACCTCTAGCCCCGATGCCCCTCCCCGTGTTTCTGCCCAAGCGTCCCCGCCTAGCATTGGCACAGGATTTGTTGCGGCCACCCCCTCCCTTTTCCAGAGTGCAGGAGCGGGCACGAGTTCGAGTGCGAGTGCGAGTACCGGCTTCCAGTCCGTCGCTGCGGCCGGCGTTGTACCTGCGAGTACCGGCTTCCAGTCCGTCGCAACGGCCGGCGTTGTACCTTCGACTCCTGGCGTCCAGCCCACCGGATCCGACGGTGTAGTACCTTCGAGTCCCAGCGTCCCCTCCACCGCTTCCGGTGTAGTGCTACCGCATTGTGCTTTTCAGCCCGTTGACGTGGACGTAGTCCCCACGACGATCCACGACTTTCAGCCTGTCATCACGGCGGCTGTAGAATCGTCCGAGCTTGTGACTCCCCCTGCAGTAGGCACGACTGATTTTCGCGACATCGATATCAACCCCCTTGTATCCAAGGATGACTTACCGATCATGGACATGAGCATGTTTCTGGATGTTGGATTGATGGATGCGAAAGACTCAGTTCCCCCTGGTGATTTGTTTCCGGATGCGCTGGAATTCCCTGAGTCTGCGGTGAACCCCCCCCTTGCATTTGCTATGCAGCATGAGGAGTTGGACATGTTGAGAGGTTATCTTACAGAATGCAGTGAGCAGCAGATCGTAGCCCCCCCCTCCCTCTCGCATGCCTTGGCGATTATCGCCCCCGGTGCTTCCCCGTTTTCGGTAGGAAAATCCACGCCCACCATCGACATTAATTTGTTCCATGCCTCCACCGGCCATGTCAATGAATTCCTGATGCGTGAAACGGCAAAGCAGCAGGGCGTACGATTGGTGGGGGAGATGCAGCCGTGTGTGGGCTGTGTGGAAGCCAAGGGTAGGCGTGCCCCGGTGCCGCGGCGTGGCACCCGCGCGGCGGTACCGTTCGGCAAAGTTCACATCGATCTCACGGGCCCGTTCTCTGACGCGCTGGACGGCTCCCGGTACCTGATCATGTTCGTGGACAGCGCCTCGCGGTGGCAACGGGGTTACGGGATGCGGGCCAAGAGCGACACCCTGAAGTTCGTGCAGCGGTTCCTCGCCGACATGAACGGCATGGGTACCCCGGGGTGCTTCCGCATGGACAACGGCGGCGAGTTCACCGGCGCCGCGTTCACCACGTTCTGCGACTCTGCTGGCATCCGGCGCGAGTACACCGCCCCCGACACCCCCAAGCAAAACGTGGTGGTCGAGAGCGCCATCTGGCGCGCCATGAAGGGGGGCCACGCCGCGTGACGTCACATCCTCGCCATGGGACACACCGACCTCTCCTCCATCCCCCACGTCGGCGCCAACGGACACCGCCTGTGGCTTGCGTCGGCGCTGTGGGCCTCCGCCTGCTTCAACCGCTCCGCGACAAAGGCCAACGTGGGCTGGAAGTCGCCGTTCGAAGTCTTCTTCGGCCGGAAGCCGCCCCTGACCGTCGTCCCTTTTGTCCAGGAGGGGATGATGCGCGTGAAGGCGGCAACCAAGGCGGACGTCCAATCCGCGCGGTGCTTCTACCTGCACGGCGCCAACAACCACTCCACGTCTACCGCCGTCGTTCTTCGCGCTGACACCGGTCGCCTCGCCCTCACCAACAACGTCGTGTGGGTCAACCGCCGGGCGGGAGCACCGGCGCCGGTGCCGGGCATCGGGGGGGGGTCTTCGGTCACCGCGGCGCCTTCGCCGGCCGCCGCCGCACCTCCGGCCGATGCCGCATCCGCCGCCGCCCCCGCCAACAAGGACATACACGTTCACCCCGCCTGCACCAGCGACCACTGCACTGCCGCCGCCCGCTTCCCCGCCGATCTTGACAGCATCCTCAGCCCCGTCGCCGGTCTCCGTCGCCCCATCATCAGCCCCACCGTCGACCGCAGCCACGCCGCCCCGTTCGCCCCCGGGCCTGCCGCCGCCGCCGCCGCAGCCCGCCAGCGCCGCCGCCCCAGCTCCTCCGCACCCGCCGCTTTCGAAACGAGCCGTCAAGGAGTTGGGACGGGAGGACACGAGAGTTCACGGCCGCACGCGCGGCGATGGAGTGCGGTTCATGGATGAGCAACAACAACCGCCGTCGCCACCAGGTGGCGGCACCGCTCTCCACCACCGCCTTGGGCTGTTGGACATGATGGACAAGGCCACCCTCATCTCGTCGCTCGCCACCCGGGAGGCCGTAGACCAAGGACGCCGCGACCTACCGCCCCCGCCGCAGCCGGATCCGAGTCTTGGAGGCCGTGGAAGCGGGGGGGCTGTGGGAGCTGGGGGGGCCGTGGATTCCGGGGGGGGGGGGAGACCGCAGATGTTCGCAACGATGTTGTGCCACCCGCGAGGATATGGACGCCGCTCTTCGCGCCGAGCGCCCACCTGACAAGATGCCTGACCTTCCGCACTGCATGGCCAGCGACCTCCGCGAGCCGAAGACGTTCAACGAGGCAATGCGGTCCCCGCACTCAGAGTTGTGGGATGATGCAGTCGGTCGAGAGTTTTTCGGTTTGTTGGATGCAGGAACTTTTAGTCCGGTGTAGCAACCAGTAGAGAACGCCATCAATGCTAAGTGGGTATTCAACTGTAAGGCAGACGAGTATGGATGGCCGACGAAATTCAAGGCAAGACTTGTAGCGCGGGGGGACATGCAGAGGGCTTCGATTGATTTTGGAGAATTGTTTGCACCCACCGTATCAGTGTCTAGTGTGCGCTTGTTGGCAGCATTAGCATGTGAGCAGAATCTTGACTTGTGCCATTTTGATATTCAGCAGGCTTTTGTGCAGTCTGAGCTTGATGAGGATGTTTTCATGCGCTTACCGCAGGGGTGTGGTAGGTTATCTGGCCTGATCGTGAAGCTGTGCAAGAGTCTGTATGGTTTGAAGCAGGCATCACGACATTGGCATGCGCACCTGACGAGGTGTTTGTTACTTTTAGGTTTTTTGCAGTGTCTGGCGGATGCATGTGTTTTTCGATTGATGGAGGAGGGACGTGTGATCATGATCATCGTGGTCCACGTGGATGACATTTTTGCTGTAGGGCAGAAGGAGAGGTGTGACAAGTTTGGCAGGGATCTCAACGAGATGGTCCCCGTGAAGAACCTTGGAGAGTTGAGGTGGTACTCCGCGTGCTTTTACGAGAGAGACGTAGAGAGAGGGCTGTTGAAGATTTCGCAGCAGAGGTTTGCCGAAGAGTTGGCTGCAGAGTACGGTATTGAGTGGGGGAGGAGTGTGCCCTTGCCCGTGAGCATGAAGCTTACCGACTTTGACGAGAACGAAGCGTGCTCTGATGTCGATTTTCGCGAGTTGGTAGGATCTCTGATGTGGTTGGCCACCCAAACAAGGCCGGACATCGCGAACGCGGTACGGGCAGTAGCGCGGTATTGTGCATTTCCCAAAATGGTGCACTAGAAGGCAGCACTCGGTATTTTAGGATACGTAAGGAGGACGAGTTGGATGGGGATTACATTTGAGAGGGGAGTAGTGACAGGGATGAGCATGCAGGTGTTTGTGGATGCCGACTATGCAAGCAAGGCGACAGACCGTAGATCGGTGTCCGGGGGGCTAGTGATGTGTGGGGGTGGGTGTGTAACTTGGTTTTCGAGGACGCAGAAGTGCGTTACGCTTTCCACCACGGAAGCAGAGTATGTGGCAATTGCTGATGTCTTGAAGGAAGTATTGTTCTTGAGGCAGGTGTGGCGTTTTATGTTGCCAGGTGCGGGTATGCCGTGCATCCCGGTGTTCGAGGATAATCAGGGAGCGATCCAGATTGCGCACAACCCAATCACGAACTCCAACTCGAAGCACATCGATGTACGGCATCACTTTATCAGGGAGCTGGTAGAGAGGAAAGAGATTTCAATTACTCATGTGCCGACGCAATTTCAGCATGCAGATTTCTTGACGAAGGCTATTAGCAAGGAGTCTTTTGCGATGCACCGTGACTTTGTGATGAACTTGCAGTAAAGGGGGTGTTTTTGGGTCGATTCGTATTCTGTATGGAAAGAGAAAGAGAGAGATGAGATCGAACAAGAGAAAGAGAGAGTCTGGTGAAGGTGGTAAGAGTTTCGGTTGTGTTGGGATTTTTCTTGTTTGTTTTGTAAGAGTTTTGGTAGCGTTTTTTTTCTTGTGATTGTCTTGGAGTATATTTTGTTTTGTTTTGGAGATGGTGGTACAGAAGAGGATTGGTATTTGCCGAAGCATGAAGATGCATACCAGCAGGGGGGCTATTAGATATATTGGGGGTACTCGTAGCATAGTATGACGGGTTATCTTTGGTACACATACCTACGGAAATTGCAGTGATGGGGTACGAAGGGTCCAGAACTTTCTGGACATTTTCCTTGGAAGTGAGAAGAGTTTGATGGAGATTCGGATAGGTCTGTTTGGTACTTTAACCGTGATGAGCGTGACGCGTGCTTGATGCCGTGACAGATTTACGAGCGCAAGCACGCCCCCGAAGAATCCAATACTTTTGCATTACGTTTTCAACACGTTTCCTACCCATCCACGCTCCGCCATGAGCCACCCGCTTTGAGCTCCAACCACAAAAGAACCGAGCCACCCGAATTATCGATCAACAGCAGCCTCAGCAGTCTAATAACCGTGATTTTTTTCTAAGATTTGTTGTTGTTGTTTGTAACATTAGCTCTATCGTCCACAGAAATGGGGAGCCCGTAGTCGCAAAAGCCGGTACATACGACGCCGCAGGGAAAAAAAACAAAACTAGATGTAGACTACGTGTGGTATCATTTTATTTAGCGCAATTTAGCGGTAGGGGGTTCCGTGGATCGTCAACGTTTGTTTCCGGAAAATATAGTAAAAACTACGTAGCACACCTCCGGGACAACCGCACTACAAATTGCAGCCAAGAACCGCAAGAGGGATGGGGGGACTCAGGGAGAGTAACCCTGAGGCTGTAGCCACGGGAAGGGGAATACGCGCGTCACAGATATTCCTTGTAGGAAGCGCTGATCATTTGGGTTTGTGACGTCAAACAACGTCAAGCGAAAGAAAAAAAAACACGACGACTTTGCAACGACACGGATTCCCTTGGCTGGCAGAGTATATACGTCTACATGGACCAATCGCATTAGAAACAAGTAGTAGTGCGCAGATCGTGCGCGGGCTAAGCTTTTTTTGCTTCTGTCTTACCCATATATAATATCAGCCCAATCAAGACAACACGTGTCCGTGACGACAGCAGTAGTTGTATTATACACACGCGCGCCTCTCACCGCTCGTGAACTGTGGTTCCAATCCACGTTGTTATTATTGTTGAATGAAGGGGATAACATCCTTTGCCGTCCTAGAGACAAGTCAGTTTCCTCGCGAGTCGTGACGGCACCCCTTGCTGAGAGAGATGAACTCCAACACCCTGACTTGTAGAAAAGGCCTCAAAGCCTGCAAGAGGTGGCAGGTGGCGCCAGGATATGTTCGGAGATCGTAGTTAACCCCACAGTCCCGCCGTTATTTTTATCTCGTAGAACATGGTGCGACCAACTGGCAAGTTGCCCCATGAAGATATGAAGACATGACACAACGGATCTGAAATGAGTTGTGTCAGTGTTTCCGTTGTGGACAAAATAGGATCTTGTGTGCATCCCCCTATTCTGTTCGTCCGGGGGGGCGAGAGAGAGAGCCCTAGCAGAAACTGCGCACCCTCTTGTCTGTCGAACAGTCGGCACGTGCTGGAAGCCATGCCCTCGAATCCGGAGGATGATGCAACCTTGGTGGGGGAGCTTGAGCCAACCTTGGTGGGGGAGCTTGTCCCGTTCACCTCAACCAAGTTCGTCTACACATGCAACAACGAGTCGTTGGGAAAGGGCCAACCCAACTACATGAAGAATCCTAACGCGTTCGACCGCGCCATCGCGTGTTCGTTCGCGGACTCCGTTGTTTCCTGCGGAGCCATGTCGGAGACAACCTTCATGGTCCTATGTCCCGCGTCGAGAGAGTGGGCAACCACGAAGACGTGGCTCGGCGGGACGTTGGAAGCGCTCAAGCACTTTGAGGAAACGAGCCAAGAGGTGGGCGGAGTTTTTTGTTTTTTGTTTTTTGTCTCGAGTTTGCTGGGGGGCGGTCGCTGATATTTAGTCGCACGTCCAGAGCTACGCAGCCCTATCTCTTCGGTGTGTATTGATATGATGCAGGCCCCGAAGACCTGTCTCTTATGATGTCGACAGCCAAGTTCGAAGCTGAGATTTTTCGGTCTTCGCCGCCCCGCAATACAACTCACCCAATCTCGCGGCAACACAACAACCAGCTGTCGCCATTTTTCCCGAGATTTCGCAACAGTAGTAAAAACCTCTTCTTGGTCCCTTCGCCCACTCTTGCGTGCCCCCTCTTGCATGCCGCAGCGGCTCGACATGGAAGGCCGGATCACAAACCTATTGGAACGGAGCACCAAGCCTTCGTGGGGGGATACGATAGAGGCAACTCTGTGGATAAGGCGCCGTTAGGTTCCGGAATAGAATGAACGCGAAGGTCACCTCGCTAGATTATTCTTCTTTCGGGTGATTCATTTTTTCTGACTCCGGCAAGTTGGCAGGATCATCACGATGACCGCAGTCGCTCACGCATATGGTCGAAGTAAAGTGTCCCACCAAGAGGACCTTGGACGGAGATACAAGTTCCCCAGAAGGAGAATTCCCTACGAGGACGTTCCATGTGTCCCCACCAAGTACTGCAAGAACTGTTTTCCCCTCTACATTCTTCGCCCCCAAGGCCGGGCGAGTGGGCCACAATGTCAATGACATACATATAACACGGGGGGGGCGGTGAAACTCCTGTCGGCTTTTTTTTTTGCTTTTTGGACTGAGAGTTGTTTTGGTTGGGGAGAGTTCAGGCATGTTGTGGTGGATTCAACCTTGATGCCCATCAAAGACGTACCCATCTTACCGTATATAGTTGACGCAACTAGAGGCTCCGCGCACGGTGGAAAACGTACTATTTTTGTATTGAAAGTCTGCCCCTAAACTACTACTGCTGGGCGTCTCGCCAAGTGTGTGTTCTTGTTATCCCCCCCCCCCACCTTGTCTCTTTTTTCCGTTCCCTTGTCACCGTTAGCACCGTTAGCTGATTTGTCCGTTAATACCTCCCTCCGTGTCATGTACGTCGTGTCTGGCAGAACTACAACAGGTTTGGGCCACCAGCCAACGACCAGTTCAACAAGACTCGGCCGCAGTTTGTTTCGGTGCAGGGACAGCACCGCGCAGCGCTACTCAACTACGCCTTTGCGTCCGATCTAGGCTTGTCGCTAAGTCGGGGAGGAGACCTCGATGGCGGGCTATTTACGGACGGTGAGAATTCTTGTTTCGTTGTGATGCGCCACATGGTGGTCATTTGAGGCGCCATGTATTCCTAGTTTCGATCTATTCCAGCGAGGGTGTTGATGTTTTCTTTCTCAACACCAACCGCCAGCTAAGAAGGCTGCCTCTGCAACAGCATGGTGTCGTCTATTGGCTAGAGTGACGCTTTTCAAATATCGTCTGGCCGATCGAACGTCCGAGAAATTCATCGAAAACCCCTACACATCGTTTTACTAACTGAAACATGCCTCACACAAAGATAAGGAACGTCATTATTCGACGTTCCCCCAGCGGATCTCATATAGTGCCGAATTAGAAAGGATGTATTTCGTTGTACACATCCCTGATTCCCCGAAGCTCTGTGCAGCGGGAAAATGGTGTCCACACAATGATTGACACAGAAAAATGCAACAACTCCGTTTCGTTGCGTGTCGTCTTGTACTTGTCTCGCAGCGGAGAGACCAGCCAAGATGTCTACTCTGAAGGAGAGGCTGCGGGACATTAATATCTCCGTAAACGTGCACGATTTTCTCACCCATGACGATGCTGAGACGGTGGGGAGACGCCAGCGCACGGTCGAGGCGACCACCACTGTGAGTTCAGCTATTTCAGAGTGTCAATCGTTGGCACCTTTGATCCCGGAAATTATCGATACATCAAAGCGGCTGTAGGGAAAGGTGTCATTATGCTTGTATATGAGACTGTACAGGTAAACTCCCCGCCTCGTGTTCGAGCCGTCAATTCATCGCAGTCTCAGCGCAGAGCTCGCTTACTGCTGTGCGCCCAAAATGCTATCGCGCGCTACACAGTCTAGACACGACTTGCTTGTCGTCCGCTCAGGACTCTGTGTAGACACAGTCGAGGCACGACTCGCTTGTGTTGTCCGCTCAGGACTCTGTCGGTAGACACAGTCGAGGCACGACTCGCTTGGTGTCGTCCGCTATGGACTCTGTAACTAAGACACAGTCGAGGCACGACTCGCTTGCTGTCCGCTCAGGACTCTGTAGGTAGACACCACAGCTATGGACTCTGTCGGTAGACACAGTCGAGGCACGACTCGCTTGTTGTCCGCTATGGACTCTGTCGGTAAACACAGTCGAGGCACGACTCGCTTGCTGTCCGCTCAGGACTCTGTAGGTAGACACCACAGTCGAGGCACGACTCGCTTGCTGTCCGCTCAGGACTCTGTTGGTAGACACAGTCGAGGCACGACTCGCTTGTTGTCCGCTCGGGACTCTGTCGGTAGACACAGTCGAGGCACGACTCGCTTATTGTCCGCTCAGGACTCTGTCGGTAGACACAGTCGAAGCTCGACTCGCTTGTTGTCCGCTATGGACTCTGTCGGTAGACACAGTCGAAGCTGATCATGTATCATGCACAGGCCTCTTTACGCTGAACAGGCCAACCGCAACATGTATCACCCGGTATGTTTTTGGTGGGGGGTCGTCAAACTCGTTCCACTGTTCAGTCTGGTGGGGAGCCCGACGTGCATGGGATGTATTTGCTAAGCTTGACCCTCGTTGCCCTGACTGTCATGCTATTAGTTCCGTGGACTTCCAAAATGAAAATGTTGAGGTAGCTCCCATCCTACATTCATGTCCGGTCTTCTCCTTCGTTCCTCCAACAGGATGTCTCCTTCTTGGACGTTTCCACAAGCCAGGGGTTGCTTGTGAAGCAGCTTTTCAATCCAGAGGATGACATCTGTCAAGATCGTGTTATGGAGGCCTTTGGCGATGACTGGCGGAGTACACTAAAGAACCCCAACAAAAGGAAGGATGCAGAGAATATCAAGAAGAGCCTCGTTGACCGTATCAAAACGGCAATGAAACTCCAACTAGGGCTAAACAGCCAACGTCGGGGTATTTTCTCCGTGTTCGTCCACACATGGGCGTTGCAACCGGAGAGGCCGTCGATCGAGATCCTTCGCCGCTACTTCGAAGACCAGAACGCCAAGGTCATCAAGGCTAAGGCAGCCAAGGTCAAGCTCGTGGCGGGGAAAGGGAAGCACTCGACCAGAGCGGTGCGTCACCGGTTGGTTTGTCGTACGTTTTCCCGTTTGCGGCTGTGTATTTCGTGAACCTGGTTTGTTGATGCCGTGGACTGAGCAGTCGGGTATGTCGACCAGCAAGAGGGTACCCCAAGTAGCCCTACACGTTAGTCCGCATGGATGGGTTATAGGAATATAACACTCATGCCAAGCACGTTTTTACATAATTGCCATTCCCCGCACACCTTGCACACGCCGAAACGTCGTTTGTCAGGGACGCGACGAGCCAGACGACGCTTCTGCAACCGAGTATACCCCACACGGCATCAGCGTTACTGCGATGGGAGCCTTGTTTTCGCTCACGGCCTACAGTCAGGCCAGTACGCTCGTACAAGACATGTTGTATAAGGGGGGTCTATCCGAAGACTTTCGGATTGCTTGCTTTCATCATTGCACCGTCCTCGAAGTGGTGCGGGCTATGGTCACAGGGCTACTCTCAAGGCGACACTGCTCCCCCGACCCTACACCCTACGACACGGGTAAGGGTCCACCGACAATCCCCGCCGAGTTGCGCTGTCTCTACAATCTACTGCACACCTTCGTCAGTGAGGAGGAGGCCCAAGCGTTTTCCGAGGAATGTGAAGCGGTTTCCGGTGAAGGTGAAGGCGAGGCGGTTTCCGGTAAAGGTGAAGGCGAGGCGGTTTCCGGTGAAGGTGAAGGCGAGGACTTCATCCACAGCATATACCAGGAGGTAGACCTTTGGGTTCCTCCTCTGGTGCGTTTCGCGCTCAAGCTGAAAGACAAACCGGTGCTGACCGGGGAGTTCAAGGCCAACAAGCTTGCTCTCACGGCTTCGCTGTTTAGGAGAGTTAACGCCTTCCAATCGAGCAACGCCGGGGGCACCAACCCCTCCAACAACAACAACCTACCCCCTGGGTGGGGGAAAAAACCGCACATGTCGACGTCCGGATCGGAGCCCGACTACACCACGCGGACGTGGGACGACTGGGTACGTTATGCCGCGATTGATTATCGTCCCGTATATTTGACGGTGACATCCCCAGTTTGCCTGTCATTTACAACAAACCTAACCCAACACTTATCGTACCAACAAGCCTTACTTCAACTTATCCCGTTCCCGCTAATCATTATTTTCCGTCCCTTGCCTTTCTTTGTTGATGCGCACAGTTCACGTACAAACCACACGAAAAGGATGGACAGTATTGCGCCCGGTTCCTTCACAACACGATGGCGACCGTGTTTGGGCTACTCATTGTCGACCGGATCCTCGGGGCCCTGCGCTCCAAGCACAACCTTCCGTCGAACAAATTCAGGGAGCTGGTGCGGGCTATCCCAGAGGTCGGCGAAATAGCGACGCTGAAAGGGCTCCTACAAAAACCAAAGACGGTCAAGCGGGGGCTTCAAGTGGGGGAAGAGTCCTTCTTCGATGAAGAGCGCCTTGCCCTCTTGGGTGAGGACGGCCAACGTGGGAACCATTGGGTTTTGTTACGAAGGTTTCCGATAGCTACAACCTAGTTGTCATCGCACTTGTCGACACGCCAACCGTAGTTGCCGATGATGCAAAGTAACCCCAAAGTGTTCAACACGGCGCAATCCTGCGTCATCAACGAAACCTTTTCAGAAGAATTGCGTACTTGCGTCTAAAATTTATAGCTGTGGTGTGCTCAACGTCTCAGTCTACAACGCTCGTTTACGGCGGGTTATTGGCTTGTGCTTGAACTTATGACCGTCTCCTGACGATGTCCATTCCGCTACACTTATCATGTTGTATATACTCGATCGACAGCCCAACGTGAGTCCTCGAACGACGGCTCGGGGGATGACAGCGACATCCGACTCGAGAAACCGTTCGCTGTAACCGTGATCGACGACGAGGAGGATGATAAACTGTCGTCCATGCGCTGGACCACGGAGATTGTCCAACAACTTGGACTTCTGGGTGATGACGGAGAGCTCACGTGTTCTGAAGGCGTCCTCCGTTTCACCATCGCGAAAGATGCAACGTGAGTGTAGTTGAAAATTCTTCCGTTGTGATACTACGGTAGGAGGTATACACCCTCTTATATCACTTGCAGGGGAATTTGACGAGTAGAAGCGCCCTTCGGGGGTTGTTGTTGTCTTCAAATTAATAACCGTTCCGTTCTGTCTGCCCAGTACCTTCATCCTACGTAATATAGTCTAATCTTGAAGTTGTCGGTTCCCGCGGTCACAGGCTATCTTACCCGAGCAATATGACGTATGCTGCTAGTTCCCGTCGTCGCCACTTACACGCTGTGGGACGATCCCTTTACGATGGAAGAACTATTGTTCATGAACAAATGCCAACACTGTGACAACTTCTATGTGATATTGGAGTCCTTTTTCGCTAGCCCTCGAGTATGCCCAATCGGCTTCGGACGACCATACTGACAAAGAGGCTAGACCTACTAGACCAGCACGGTTGGGAATGTAAAGGATCGGGATGACTCCCAAGCAATATAGTCCCCAAACCTGCTGCACATGCAATTTCTACAAACCTAACGCACAGCAGTGTCGCGCGACAGCATCGGAATCCGAAGTACGCAGTCGGCGGAGTGCGTTTCCTGTCCTTTTCTGTTGGGCATGGAGCCGGCTGTAATAGTAAATTGACGGGTGACCCGAACTTACACACCAAACGCACAGTGTCGCGCGACAGCATTGGAATCCGACGTCTATAGTCCACGGAGTTCGCAACCTGTTGTTCATACCTGCTACCGAGCCCGACGTCTATAGTCCACGGAGTTCGCAACCTGTTGTTCATACCTGCTGCCGAGCCCTCTGTAATCGTAAAGTGAAGGGTGACACAATTACACACTACGAAACGAACAGTGTCCCGCGACAGGATAGGAAGCCGAAGTACGGAGTACGCGGAGTTCGCATCCTGTCGTTTTCTGTTGGGCATCGAGCGAGTCGGTTGTCATAGTAAATTGACGGGTGATCAAATTAACACCCCAAACGCACAGCGTCGTCGCGCGACAGCATCGGAAGCCGAAGTCTATACCGTATATGACACAAGATAACACACCCCCTTGACCGTTTTTCAAAGCTCGATTTCTCAACAGCAGGAAGACTCACAGCGCCGAAAACGGCGGCGTTGGAACCGTCTCATCGAGAGCTGTTCGAAAACGTATTGTTTCGTGTATGCATCCTCTTCGTCGTGGAGTAATCGAGCTTTGAAAATCGGTCCAGGGGGTGTGTTATCTTGTGTCATGTACGGTAGTCCACGGGGTTCGCAACCTGTTGTTCATATGTCCTGTTCATCGAGCCCGCTGTAATCGTAAATTGACGGGTGACCAAATTACACACGAAACGAACAGTGTCACGCGACCGCATCGGAAGCAACTGTCCCCGGAGTTCGCAACACAAACAATACATTAGATACCGACATCGGCATGCATGGGTTTGTCAGATGGTGACCTCGTCTCGAAGGAGGTTCATTCTCAACCCGCATTCATAACGCCCTTCTTGAAAACTCACAACCTCATTTTCAACCGTGTGCACCATCCCTCCCCACAGTTTCGGTGGTCCGACTCCTAACTAAAAGGGTTCGCTTGCTTCAAGATTATCTAACTCCTATGCGCATGTCCCCCTCTTCTACAGGAGAGATCTTTCCAAAAAGAGGAAGGCGTCCACGTCGGCAGACATTCGCCAGGGAGATGAGACGAAGAGGCCGAAGAAGACCAACAGGCCCGCCTCCGACACCAAGGATGACGAGGACAATACGTCGGAAGACCGAGGATCGCCGAGCTCCGGCGAAAGCTCGGAAGAGAAGGAGGACGACGAACGGTTGGCCGACAACGCGGACGATGGCGGTTCCTGCGCACGAGAAGAAGTGGGAGTGGACGAGGAGATCGACCATCCTGGAGCGAAGCATGGCGGCGGAGAACAATCGGAGGTGGACGAACCTGTTATATTGCGAAAAGATGCCCAAACGGGTAGCGGTCGCCTAGATGAGAGGCCACGCAAAACAACGGAACCCGGAGACCACCTTAGGCACTTTCATGACCGGCGTTCCCTCCCTCTCCTGCCGACAATAAATCGCCCGTAGCCAAGCCCTCTGGCGGACAATCTTCGAAGCCTGACGCCGAGACCTGCGCAGACAGAAGGCTAGGAGACGATCACGTGTGAGTGTCCTATTTGTTCTGTTGAGTGTTGCAAACTTGAAAGTGTTTTTGCTATGCCGTACCTCTCACCGTCAGTGTGCGTCGGCAGGCGCTGCTGCTCTGTCCCTGGTGTAACGATTCGGGTATAAGAAGACCTACTTGCAAGCGCGGGGATAATAACCTTTGGGGCGCGTGCCATTACTTTAATTTGAGAGTGTTTTCTCAATTTGGGGCCGGTTGCCATTTACTGTGCAACAGTGTCAGCTCTGTCAGCTGCATCAACTAGCAACACTCACCTTTTCCTGGCGGTTTTGTGTTCTTTCGCTTGGGTGTACGCTAATGCTCAGGGCACGGGTTATGAACGCGGTGAGAAAGGCCAAGGAGGAGTGCACACACAACGTTGGCGGCCTCGTGGAATTCTTCAAGGTCGAGTGTGCTCACTTCTTTCACAGCGTCTGGGCCGCCTCCAAGGGCACCGGCGCCGGGCAGATTTTGTATATCTTCTGGCCCCCCAACCTAGATGTCCCCCAAGGCAAGGATCTACCAGCGGAGTGGCTTGACGATGACGGAAAGGCTAAGTACACCTTCTTCGGCGGGACCGAGCCTGGGTCGCTTGTGGACCTCGTAACGGGGAAACACGGCACGACGTTTCCTAGAAACTGCTCGGATGATGGAAAGACACTACATGGTCGAACCAGACGCTCATCATCGAAAAAATCTAGCGAATGATGACGTCGCGATTCGTTTGTGTTTTGTTCAAAAGATGCCTGTAGTATTCTGGCTGGTACGGTTTTTCTCTATGTACCACAGGGTGTACTTCGATTATCTCTATGTACCACAGGGTGTACTTCGATTGTGTTGCCTACACTGCCCTTTCGGATTTCCGGTACTCTTCGACTCTGTCTGACGACCAAGGAGGAGGAAGTCGTCCGCTTCGGTAAATGCGCCTTTGATGTTTTTGGGCCTTGTGTCGAGGTGCTTTTTCCAAATACTTTCAAGTTGGGGTTTCGCTTTGTCTGACCTCAAAGTAAGGCGTCCATACGCGTAAAGTTGTAGAAGTAGTCTTTAATACAGTAGTGTTGCACAAGTTGTGGGGGGGAAATGTATCTATGCTGCGCAGCGCCGCCGCCGTAGGACCTATATGTCTCTCGATGAGTCTGCAGTAACATGCCTTGTAGCACTTGAACACTACGTATTGTCGACGTTGTCTGTCGTGAAAATTTATCCAGTAATTGTTGGAATTCCGGTACCCTTGGACTCCCAAGCAAGGATTAAGTCGTCCGCTTCGGTAAATGCGCCTTTGATGTTTTTGGGCCTTTTGTCGAGGTGTAGTGTAGTGTTGCACAAGTTGTGGGGGAGAAATAAATGTATCTACGCTGCGCAGCGCCGCCGCCGTTGGACCTATGTCTCTCGATGAGTCTGCAGTAACATGCCTTGTAGCACTTGAACACTGCGTATTTGTCGACGTTGTCTCTGTCTGGTGATCAAGACGTGTCTAGGAGGACTTCTAAGTTGCATGAAAAATAATTCAGTGTAATCATATGTGACCTACTTGTACATATCTCCGAATCAAAGGCGAAATAGGGGTATGTATGATCGCCTTCCTGACGGCCTTCCTGACGATGGTCTCAATCTGACATCGATGATATTTTCCAGGGAATCGGTGCACATTCCACCCGTCCCTGCCTTCTGTTCTTCCATGTATGTATGTATGTATGTATGTTCGCTTCTTCTCTGTTTTTCTGTTTTTTGTTTCTGTTTTTTTTTTTTTTCCCTTTTTCTCTTTTTTCTCTTTTTTTTCTCTCTTTCTCTTCCTTTCTTTTTCTGTCGCTGACTTTTTATTGGCGTGCGGACCCCCTCAGGTCCACATTTTTGTTTGAGTGTACCTATTTTGGGTAAGTTAGCCTGCGACCACGGGAATTGACCCGCGTCAAGTGTTGTTGGATCAGTATGGACATATGAAGGTACTGGGTAGAGAGAACGGGACGGTTTCTAATGTGAAGACAACAGCAACAACTATACAACAACAACAAAAACATGTACTGAGGACAAACAGAGTACGTCTTCAACCCTACTTTGAGGGTCGCATGGGCTCGGCGGGTCACTCAGAAGGCCCTACAATTACTTGATTACAGCCACCGCGTGATCGCCCCCCCCGCACCCCTCCCCCTCGGCCTGGTTGCCATCGGGGTTTGGGTTTTCGTCGCTTGGCAACGACGTTGTAAAACAAGCCTCCCACTCGGTGTTTGCCATCGGGATTGGGTTTTCGTCGCTTGGCAACGACGTTGTAAAAGAAGCCAATTCACTTCGTGAACTCGGCAACCAGGTTAACGTTTTTTATTTTTTACCTCGGTTTTGTTTTTTGGCGGTAACCAGAATGGTGGTCGAGTAGATCATGTTGTGCGGGGTCGAGAACCCTCACTCCGCGCAACGGGGGATGATCGCACCACGTTGTGTTAAAATGGTCAAGCTTCCTCGAGGCAGTTACTTACACAGTGCTTACAACTGTCTCTAGAAGTGAAGGCACCAGAAAATAGATTAAGTCATACGTAGCTGTCATCCGTACGCAAGGAAGTAAGCACAAGATGCCGAACACCCTTAGCAGGATGCAGCTCACCCTTCATGCGACTCGCCAAATACCTCACGGCGCTTCGCGCTTGGTGATGTGAGAGCCTGGTCCGGTGAGAACCCGGCGTGCTCCGTCCCGGCTTTGTAGGGATGCGAGGTCAATGGTCAAACGATTACGGCATGCACGACTATGAGTACACCCCCCCCCCCCTACCGTAGCATCCCTCCCAACCCGTCACCTTTGTCCGTTGCGCAGGACATCTTCCTTGCATCCGTGCACGTTGCGCTTCTGGAAGCGGACAGCGGTCAAGCCGTCGGCCACGGCCGCTCGTACAGGGAAAGTTTCGCCTTCCTCGATCTCCTGGCAGCAGGCATCACACTGGTGTCTCGTCCAGAGGGCCTGCTGCTGAATCTCCTCCGTCACCTCGTCCAGCAGGTCTTCTAAACCGGGCCAGAAATTGGCACCTGAGAGGTTGCCTCGGTCGTCGGAAATTGCAACCTCTCGCGGATTGTCTACCAGTACGCTTTGACCTGCCGGCGGATTCCACCACCATGGACCTGGGGCGAATGCGCGCGCAGGGTGTGTCTGTGGGTGTTTTCGAGGGTGATAGGAATTGGCTATCGTCGGCACGACACGGACGGCTACCTAGAAGGCTTGGGATTACCTGCAGTGTCGCCCTTAGAACAGAGGGCGCGACCGGCGGGAGTGATCGTCAGGAAAGGCTCGGAAACAAAAACTGTCACAACGAGGTGAGAACCCAGATACCGCAAATATTGAGCCCAAGTTTTAGGACCCTCTGTACCTAATTTCGACGCTCGACTACTAGGCAGGAAAAGCGGTGATGGCCCCAAGCATTGCAGCGCTGGAACCGCCTCGTCCGGATTGTTCTAAACAAAAAGGATATCACAAGATATATCATTTGATATCGGCATCCTCTCCGCCGTGTAGAAACCGGTATTTGAGAATCGGTCCAGGGGGTGCGGTATTTTTTGCGACCTACGGGCGATTGTTAGGGGATGGCTTGGATCGTTACAAAGGGGATGACAAGTGAGCGATAGAGAAGCAAAAACCACCCCTGGCTGCGGGAGAAGAAACTCTCCCGACCTCAATCGGCCTAGTTTAGTCAACCTGTTGGTGTGTGTACTCGGCAGGATACAATTCTCCGAGATCTCCGAGGGGGTTACGCAGATGAGATATATACAATGGGTATGATAGACAGACTTGGTGCAGCAGGCTTTGCCTCTTCTTGCCCACGTCTGTCACTCGTCACACGTGTCCGCGCCTATGGAAAAAAATCCATTTTTATTTTTTATGCAGACATTACAAATCCTGGAATCACATCGAGAAGCAGTCTCTCCGCGCAGTGTTTTTGGTTATTCTGCCACAACTCGCGCTGTAGTGCTGATCCCAATTAGTGCACATCATCTATGGATTGCCCACATGTAAAGACACACACACATCAATTTTCGTCAGATTTGGTCCACCCTACGTGGGTAACCAAAAGGCACCTAGGTGCGGTGCGTGCTTCCATGGCTTGGATTACCATGATAGTTTTGGAGGTAGGCTCATGATCGTTCTGGGGCCTCTCCGCTGACTACTGGAGTTTAGAGTTGAATTTAGGTCGACTTTTGCAGGCCCACTGCCATCGCTGTAGTTCAGATCCCAATTAGTGCGCATCATACATTCATTCTATGGTCTTTTATCTCTACTATGGCGCAGAGTTTTGGCCGAATTGGGACTCTGAAGCGGGTAACCAACTTGGATGAAAGTTGCTTCCCAGAGCTGAAAAGGTTGCGTGCAGCAGCAGGAAGGCAGCTTCAACTCAGATGTGATCGCGAGACATTTCTCCGGCTCAAAGCACAATCAAAGGGCAAAACCAGCTTTCCGATGGAGGGTATGACTTGCTTGGGGCGCCCGCCTGTTTTGGTGAAACGACAAGGTCTGTGTAAGGAGCACGAGGTGGTGAAAGAACTGGGCTCAGCCATGTCCAATATGGGGAGGGGATGGAACAAAATTGACCCCGCGGAAACCGGCGTCGTTTTTTCTTGTCTGTACTTTTTTTTGCAATTCTTATAGGCCCGAACACCTGTGTCGTTAAACTCTCTCCAACAATATAGGAACTTGAGTCACTCCTTTGTGCAACACGCTCTCGACAAGAGCCCGCGAGCGTGATAACATAGTACACGCACCGACACCCCAAACACGATATCGTGGAGTCAGCTGACGTCGGTAGGGAAAGGTTCGGGAGGTAGGCACTGGAATACAAGGACGGCAGCAGGGCGGTTTTTGCTCGCGCTCGTCAAGGAGATCCAGGGAACAGGGTTTGGAATACAAGGGCAGCAGCAGCAGGGCGGTTTGTGCCTGCGCGCGTCAAGGAGATCCAGCTACAAAACAATACAGCAGTAGGCCGTAGGAGACACATTGTGCCGCGTTTTTTTGTTTTTTTTTGCGGCGTAATTTGGCGGAGGAAGAGAAGAGATGACGAGGGAGAAGGACATGACGGAGAGGGAATATGGGCATCTATAGGAGAAGAATGATGCACCGGCAAGAGTAATGGCTGCCGGGAGAACGTCTACCTGGGCAGCTGGTGGAGCTGGTCTCGGTACACAACGGGTGAGCATGATGAATGACGGAAATTGTGCGTTGAGCGGTTACAGCAGCAGTCGCATACTGCCCAAAATCCCGAAAGATTCGGCGAAGGCCGTGAACTGGCTGCGGAGATTGCGGATTTTCCTGGCTAGCGAGGGTTTGGAGCAGACGCTTGAAGACACCTCTCCCACTGGCTATGTTCCTGCCATCAGCTGTTTGGATTGCATATATATCTGAACCGGGTTCATGGTGCGGCACTCGTTGCCGCACACAAGCGGGCGTGGGGATATCTGTTGGAAGCAACCTGCGGCACGGACATTGAAGAAAGGTTGGCTGCTTGCGACTGCGTCCCTGAGGCGTGGAGGGTGATCCGCGAATGGGTTTTGCCTACTTTTGACGCCGAGAAGACATTGCT